TTTAAGTTTACAGACAGATTGAACATAAATTAAGAGTGTTTACTCCCTACACATGCTCTTCCCCACTAGTAACATCTTGATTTAGTGTGGTACATTTGTAATTTGTTATTGATGCATTATTATTAATGAATGCCATAATTTACATTAGGGTTCACTCTTTGTATTATATAGTTCATTGGGGTTAGATGAGTTTATAATGATATGCATGTTTTTGGTACTAAATGCCTTGGAGTTGTTTCTTACTCTTAGTGACCTTGTGTAGGATTTCTGAGGAGTGACTGGTGGGTTTGCATACCAACCTTGCAGTTAGTAGTCCAGTGCTTATCCTACAGTACTGCACCATTGTAATATCAAACAGAATAGATTGTTTCACTCCATACTTATTCTTCCCCCTAAACCTCTGGCAACCACTACAGTCTTTTTACTATCTTTGAATTCTAGTGTGGTGATGTAGGATAAGTACTAGATTTTTTTTTTTTTTTCAACATTTTTATTGTGAATTGAGTGATAGTTTACATGGGAGAACATAGGTTTTATACTCATTGTTTCATTGCAATGTCTGACTGTCTAATTCTGAAAAATGTGACATTGAAAACTGTAGGGACTACAGTTTTACTCTGGCACACATAAGGTTACCATGAGTTGGAATTGCTTGGGGTCTTAAAAGCTTGCAAGTGGCCTTCCAAGGTATAATAATTGGTTTCTATTTGCTTGGAGTAAGTATTGCTGTGGGGTGTTTTTTTTTTTTTTTTTCTGAATTTTCACTTTCTTTAGTTTCCTCCTTCCCTTGCCCCCCCCCTTCTCCCTATGATAGGGCAAAAAGACCCCAGTTTTAAATAAAGAAATATTATTATTGTTAAATGCCATCAAGTTGGTTCAGACTCATAGCAACTCTGTATAGGGTTTCTGAGAAGTGGCTGGTGGGTTTGAACTGCCCACTGTACTTTTAGCAATCCAGTGCTTAACCTACAGCACCATACTGTTGTTGTAGGGTGCCATCGATTCGGTACTGACTCATAGTGACCCTATGTATAACAGAACGAAACACTGGCCGATCCTGGACCAACCTCACAATTGTTGCCACGCTTGAACCCACTGATGCTGCCTCTTTGCCAGTCCATCTCACTGGGGGGACTTCCTGTTTTTCTTTGACCCTCCACATTACCAAACATGATATCTTTCTCCAGTTACTGGTCCCTTCTGACAATATGTCCAAAGTATGAGAGAGGAAGTCTGGCCATCCTAGCCTCCAAGGAACACTCTGGCTGCACTTCTTCCAACGTGGGTCTGTTGGTTCTTTTGGCAGCCCATGACACTTTCAGTATTGTCCTCCAAAACCATAACTCAAAAGCATCAATTATTTTACAGTCTTCCTTATTCACTGCCCAGCTTTCACATGCACATGAGGTTACTAAAAATACCACGGCTGAGGTCAGGAGCACCTTAATCCTCAAGCTGACATCTTTGCTCTTCAACACTTTAAAAAGGTCTTGTGCAGCAGATTTGCCTAATGCAATACATTGTTTGATTTCTTGACTGTTGCTTCCATGAGTGTTGATAGTGGATCTGAGAAGAATGAAGTCCTTGACAACTTCTATGTTTTTTTCTTCGGAAATAATGTTATTGGTCCATTGGTGAGGATTTTTGTTTTCTTTACATTGAGATGTAATCCATACTGAAGGCTGTGCTCTTTGATCTTCATCAGTAAATATATTAAGTCCTCTTCACTTTCAGCAAGCAAGGTTTTATCATCTGCATATCACAGGTTGTTAATGAGTCTTCCTCCAATCCTGATGTCATGTTTTTCTTCATAGAACCCAGCTTCTTGCATTATTTTTTCAGCATACAGGTTAAATCAATATGGTGAAAGAATATAACCCTGTTGCACACCTTTCTTAATTTCAGACCATTCAGTGTTCCCATGTTCTGTTCAAACAACTGCCTTTTGGTCCATACTAGGACTCCATAAATATTGTAGAAACTTTTTATTAGATCTTAAGTAGGAGTACAAAGTAAACAAAACAAACAGATCACCCTAGTTAGAGACCATTTCACACAAGGCCAAGATAGTGTCTAAAATTCTATCTCCATGTGTCAGTTTTTATAACAAAGGGATCGCATACCATAACCATAAGGATATGATCATAAGGTAGTAACACTCACCAAGTTGTTTATAGAGGAACTCCCTGAGAGGCCTTAAGTATGCCCATGACTTCAATCTTATCTCTGCTTACTTTGTTTTATCTTTTGTTTCATAAAGTTTCCATCTACTTTGTTCATTCTCTTTGACATTTTGCTTTCTTGAACACCCCCCCCACACACTTTTTTTCCCCTTCCTAATTATATCCAGGAGTCCTGGTATGGCACTGTAGGATAAAGCACTGGACTGCAAGATTGGTTTGAACTACAAGGTCAGTGGTTCAAACCTACCAGCTGCTCCTTGGAAACTCTATACAGGGTCGCTATGAGTCCGAACTGACTCTATAGCACTTACCACCACCACCACAACAATCATATCCAGATTAAAAACTATATACAGCCTTCAATATAGATTGCACCTAAGTGTAAAGAAAACAGAAATCCTCACAGGTGGACCCATAAATAGCATCATGATAAATGGAGAAAAGATTGAAGATAACAGAATCTTTATTTTGCTTGGATCTACAATCAGTACTTAAGAAGCAGCAGTTTAGAATCCAACGACATATTGCATTAGGCAAACCTGCTGCAAAAGGCCTCTTTAAAATTTAAAGAGCAAAGATGTCAATTTGACAACTAAGTTGCGCTTGGCCCAAGCTATGGTATTTTCAGTCACCTCATAAGCATGTGAAAGTTGGACAGTGAATAAGGAATCCAGAGAAAAATAAATGCATTTGAATTATGGCATTGGCAAAGAGTATTGAAAGTACCAGGGCTGCTAGAAGAACAAACAAATCTGTCTTTGAAGAAGTACTGCCAGAATGCTCCTTGGAAGGGAGGATGACAGGATTTGGTCTCTCGTTCTTAGCACATGTTGCCAGGAGAAGTTCTTGGAGAAGGACGTTATGTCTGATAAAGTGGAGGGTCAGCGAAAAATAGGAAGATACCTCCAACTAGATGGACTGACACAGTGGTGGCAAAAATGGACTCAAAAACAATTGTGAGACACAGAACCAGGCAGTGTTTTGTTCTGTTGTGTGTAGGGTTGCTATGAGTCAGAATAGACTAAACAGCACCTAACAACAACAATGTATATCCTTTTCCCTTTGTGTTTCCTTATACTACTTTTCTGAACAGAAAAGGCGAGAATTTGGAGTCAGCTAAAAATGCCCCTTGTTGGCATTATTGTAGTAGGTAAATTTAATCTTTTTGAACCTTAGATAATAATTTAGTTATACCTTAGTGTATGTATGGCTTAAATGATAATATTTACAAATTGCTTAGCACAGTGCTTTGAAACACTGTTTCATAAATTGTAGGCCCGCTGCCCTTTCCCCACTCCTCAACTTGGTGATTATCTATCAGATAGTAATGTATTTATAGGTGGGCACTGTGCCCTTACTGGTGGGGCTATAATCATTTCCTTTCATAAATCATGTGCATCGATCAGTCTAGGTTGTTTGCTGTACACATCTCTGTAGCTGCACCTTTATTTGAAATGCTCTTATTTCGTATGTGTAATCCTTGATTTTCTTTGAAAAACCATTTTCTCTCTTGTTATGTTTATTCACCTCTAACTAGACTTAAAGCCTTGCAGTCGGGATCAGGTGTTAGTGATCATTGTATTGTCTGTGAAAGTTTGCAGAGTGGATGACTATAGCTGTCCTTTGTAGTTAGTTCACTAATGTGGGATACTAGTGATAAGATTAACACCAGAATTGTTTGAGATCTGTATGACTATAAAGTTGTGGTTTTCAGGCTGTATTCTTTGGACCACTGTAGTATCTGTGGAGGTACTTTGGCTTTATTTCCATCATGGATAAATTAAGGAGGTTGTTTGATTGTTTAGACAGTTTAACATTAGCTCAAAGCAAGAAAACAAGGGAATAGCTACTGGGAAAGCTTTGCTTGAAATTTCGGCAATCCAGAACAGCCACTTTCCCTTTTTTTCTCAACATATTTAGCTGCTATTTAATATTTTATATGAATGAAAAGTTTGAATGATTACAAATTGTTTGGAAACCATTTTGGTAGAACACCTGACTGAGAAGGATAGACGTGCAGAAAAAATAGGCAATTCTATTGTCATAGTGTTGACTGTGGTTTCATAGTGTTCAATATACATTTTGTAGCATATGATTCAAGAAAGTGAATGCTTTTGCTCTCCATGGTTGGCTTCCCTTTTATGACTATTGTAATGTCTGCACAGCTTTTGTAGAATGTCAAGCTTAAAAATACCAATAGGATTTTAGTTTTTAGAACTGTTAGCTTCTTTAAGAGAGCTTTAAATAAAACATAGTACTATAGTCTACTATGTTGTGTCATTGGCTTGACATGTTGTTGTTGTTGTTAGGTGGCATCAAGTCAGTACTGACTCATAGTTCCCTTATGCACTACAGAATGAAACACTGCCCAGTCCTGGGCCAACCTCACAATTGTTGTTACACCTGAACCCATTGCTGCCATCACTGTGCCAATCCATCTCATTCCTCTTTTTCTCTGACCCTCCACCTTACCAAACATGATATCCTTCTCTAGTGTCTGGTCCCTCCTGATAATACGTCCAAGGTATAAGAGACGAAGTTTGGCCATCCTGTTTTCCAAGGAGCGCTCTGGTTGTACTTCTTCCTTCACAGACTGGTTTGACAAATAAAGGTGTATATTTATTGTGTATGTATGTATATTGTTCGGAAACTCTGTACAGGGTCGCTATGGGTCGGAACCGACTCAACGGCACTTAACAACAACAA